AAGAAACACCCCAAGCTCTGCTCTCTCTTCGGGGACTACTAAATCAACTTGCCTCACTAGCAGCCCTCAAACTTGCATTGTGAGGCAAAACTAAACGGGCGCAAGCACGAGGAGACAACACGGCAGCGTTATAGGCGACGGAGTCGGTAGATGCTTGGGCATATCGATGACGCATTTCGAAAGTGACGAAGGGGCGCTGTGTGACGCACATGCACACTATGTATACGGTGAAGGACGGCGATGGTGGCAACGGCAAAAAGCAGCCTGGACTGTCCATATAATTGCAATCGCAATAAAAAGGGGCCAGACGCGTTTTGGCGTTCCTGGGAAAAGAATCTAGCAGTGAGCAAAGCTTTGACTCATGCTTTTGCGGCAGTCAGTTGCGCCGTCCTGTTCGTTCACGTGTGTCCCAGGAACACACACGTGAGTTGTTTTGACTGAAATAGATTCTGCTAGTTGTGTTGATCCTTTGAGACCCTCACCTTAGTGAAAAACTCTACCCTCGTCAGCCACTCCTAGCCACTATAAGACCGTAACGCTGATGTTGGCACTTGCGATTGAGACCCCTCTCCCACCCCCTTTTGTTTTTCGCGATGTTTTTTTTTTCTTGTTTTTCACCCCCCCCCCCCCCTGTTGCGAAAATTTCCCGTATTCAGAATCCTTGAACTTGGCAGGTATGAAATTAAAGGGGCCCTGCAACACTTTTCAACCGTTGTCAGAAAACTCTGCTGATCGGTAGTCGAGGCTACCTAGGATACACAAGCCAAATATTATAGGGCAGCACGCGGCGTGCGATTCATAATAAATTCTCAAAGTCAGCTAAAAATTGCTTTCTTTTCTCGGCAAGTGACTCCACAAGTTCAGAAAGCAAGTGTCATGTATTTTCTATTCCCGTGCCATCCCTCCCTGTTTAGCTTCCTGTGCTTTCGTCAGGATGAGAAAAGAGAATGCCCTTGCAACGTGCGAGAAATCTTTGTGACTCTGAGCGTACTAGATGGATTCTAAATATATTTAGGACGGTGAATTCATGAAGCAATAAATAAGCTTCATTAGTGAATCCATTCTATGGCTACTTGAAAGTGTCGCAGAGCCCCTTTATGTGAAAATATTACTCTTAAATCAATTCATTTTATTAAGCTTAAAAGCTAGTTATAATGGCTTATATGCTCTAAATATAATAAATCTTAAAATGTTAGGTATTTTAAAGGTGATGACTCGCATCCTGCTGAAAGTGAAATTCTGCTACTACCTAAAGCTCTTTCGACTTTTGAACGGAAAAAAAGGCGATTTGCATAGAGGCTCTATTTCATTTTTAAAGAAATATTGTTCAGATTAGTTAGGTCGTGATAAATATGCCCATTTTTCTTTATATGTCATATATAGTATTTGAATTCGATATGAAATTATTCGACCAAAATCACTATTCGCACAAGCCTATTTGTTCGCATATGTCACTATGAATAACTTGCGATTTTGCGCATTTGCCATAAGAGCCTCAGTAGATCATGCAGTGATTACTATGACTTCAGCGCAAGTGCGATGATGCCTGCACGGAAATTCATAGCAGCATGATGACCTACCAGCAAATGTGGCGGCAAGTCATTGCCTTAAACCTACCAATGATAAAATCTCAGTCATGTACAGCCTGCACGGCAGTACGTGTGGCTTAGTGGTTTAGCGCTGTTACAATTCACGTAAGCGTACCGACCATGCCGTCCGCTGCCGTGACCCTGTGCGCGGGACCGCAAACGCGTATCGCTTGTGGAAACGAAGGCGAAACCCGCTGCCACCACGTTGGCTCGACAAAAGAGTGTTCACACTTTTGCTCGGTCCCGTGCTGAGCAAGCATGAAGAAAAAAAAATCTTTATGCAAGGGCAAATGCACGCGTAAACGTTACAGGGCACGGCGCTGACGGACTGAGCTCAGTAGGCTATGCACTGTGCGCAACTTGCTAGGGGACAAGCTATCAGGACAACGCAGCATTCTTTATTGGAAAATGGCGAGAAAATTAGAACGAAAACTATAAAATCGGGGTCCTTCGAGCCAAAACTGATAGTTTCGTAACCTGGATGAATCGTGACCATCTAGGCCGCTTTAATGATCACTTAGATTTAAGTACACTAGTGTTAACTGTTAACACAATCAAACCAGTGGCCTCATGCTCACTAGACATCATGGCAGCTACGAAAGCTTTTCTTTTTATTTTGTAATAAAGTCCTACCACATGAAAAAAAAAAGATACAAAACGTTTGTTCAACATGTGGATTGAACCCAAGACATCACAGTCACAAGCTCAACTATTAGTCTTATGCTCTCTCGGAAGTACACATGGTGACATTTTTGCTAAATTTTTGTGTGCAATAATAACTAACACTGACTATAATAACAATTGTACTGTTTCCAACCTAAAGAAATAATTGAGTAGGTGGAAAAAAATGCACCTCTTCATTATACTATATTCGATTTGTATTCAAAGCTATGTATTCGATTCGTATTCAAAAATTTTGATATTTGCACACCCCTAATATTTACACCGAAAATTGACAGGCATTTTTCGGCCAGGTGTAAAAAAATGGTAATTATTTTCTTGTCTTTCTTACATTTTAGCTATAAAATGAGACTGCTATTGCAGTTTTAGAGACGAAGCTCCTTATGGTCGAGGTTGGTCCATTAACGTCAGCATTGGCGTTGTTCTCTGTAGTTGCCACTGACGATGAAGAACAAGTGTGTTCCAGACCACACAGTCTATTTCTGCCATCACGGCACAGCACATGCAAGGTACCCACTATACGCCATGAAGACGCTGTTAACTGACGATGATGGCGACAGACGACAGGCTTGTGCAGTACAGTAGAACCTCATTGATATGTTTTCGAAAAAAAAAATGCAGAAAGTAAACGCACGATCCAAATATAGTGAAAAATGAAGCTGGCAAGTTCATATAGAGGTGTAAGAGCAAACATTTATTTCAAAAAAAAAATTGCAATTTTCTGATGCTGCCTCTCGCCCATAGACAAGACAAGAAAAGCTCCTTCTGCACACTGCAGACCCTTGTCCGCATTTCTATTGTTTTTCCTGTTAAAGAAGCTTTGTAAAGCTTGCAGTGTAGCAAAGGCTTCGGCGAAGTTAGTCAGTCAGCTCCATGCTTTCATTCTCGCCACTGTCTTCCACTGCCTCGTCCCCCACATCCTCCGCTGTATCACCCCACAACACCTCCACGACAATCTGAGCGACACTTTGCGGCTCGCAAGTCGGGACGTTGTCATCCATCCCTAAGAACTCGTCGGCTGCGCTCTGTATCCTCTAATGCAAGCTGCTGCCGAAAACAGCACTTCTTGAAACAGCTGCACGCTGCCTTCAAAGTTAACCTCGAAGACACGTGCTTGCTTCCAGCTCCCCATGGCAAGCTCCTTAGGCTTTCTTTGTTGCACCGCCGAATACCAAGGCGTTCGTCTCGATCTCTTTTCACTTTGACACCATTGTATTCACAGTAGACGCTGCCAATTTAAGTTCGTTTGCTATGTCGATTCGCTTCCTCTTCTGGTTCCTGTCCACAACCAAATGGATACTTAGCTCCTACCTAATAGACAAAGGCTTGTGCTTATTCGACACCATGCTAGGTGCAACTGCCTTGAATCGTGAACTATGCACACTGAGCAATGTGCAGCCTTGCACAGGGACCGGTGCGGCCTGCATATTCCTAAATCATTTGGCATCAGTGTCAGAGTGGAGAGTGTTCTCCATTGGCTATGATATCAGTTACTTCGTTCTCGGCGTCGTAAACAACGCATGCCATTGGCTGGGTTGAGAGTGACTTCGTTCATCTCGTAGCTGCTGGGGTGCTGAGTTCGTGCGCTGTGTAGAGCCTCCATATAGGTAGGCCACGGATAACTATCATAGAGCGCTGACAGTGGAAACGTGAAAAAGCTCGCATTCGTCAGGACGATGATGCAGTACAAACATGAAAACAGGCCCGGGAGGCTGAGTGCCGGCAGCAACTGCGTATCGATGATTCGGCAACCTTACAGGCTGCGCTAAATCGTAAAAACCACTGTGCTACAGAAAAGTCATTTTTTGAAAATCGTTTCAAGACTTTGACGGCTCAGGCGGATCTCTGGGAGAGGGATGTGAGTTGAACACAGCAAAGAAATCTCCACTAAGCGCTTCACAAGCACGGGAGAGCAATTTTTTTGCACACCTGAATGAGAATCATTGCTTGCGAAATGTTTCATACCACCGCAGTTTGCCGCAGTGCCGAACGTGGCTGCCGAATAATCGTATTTTCTGGGAGTGTATAAGCGGAACGTATTCACACACAGCGCTATAGGGGCATTTTTAGTTTTTGAGATTTCGAGCGTAGGAGCTGGCAGATCCTATTAATAGGGAACGTATCAACAAGGTTCCACTGTATACGATGTAGCAATATGTTCTACGATGCTTTTCGTATGACTGGACACAACTGACAACTACTAAAGCGACGTGCCCAAACCTCGTCTTTGCAAACTTCAGGCTAGAACCGGTATCACAAAAAACAGTAATAAGGAAGGCGAAACGAAATTCGCAACTCAACACAACATACCGGTTATAACCTATAAAACTTATGTATAACTGTACACCGCTTTATCACTCATTTACATGCATGAGTGGTCAATGTTACTGCTGATTTACGATATTACCGAACGATCCTGTGGCTTAGCTCACTCATCATCATTGACTTCGTGGATGTGCCGTGCTTGTTTTTGTTGAATCTGAAGTATGCAACTGTACTGAGGAGAGTGAACGGTTGCGCTCTCCATAAGGGCAACTCTTTTTTTTGATGCGCACGGCAGAGTGATTGTCCACAGCAATTTTGGCTGTTGTGTTCGACAAAATAAGCGTTGTGGGGCAGCAATGTCTGAATCATGGAGGAGTGTGGTGTAACTCATGAAAAGAGAGCAGTTAGTTACACTTTATCTGTTACCCTTCTTATGCAACAACCAGCTGTTCTGTTCTTTTGTAGGGCTGAGCTACGTGAGCTCAACGACAATATTCGAGTCCTGTCCAGCTCCATCCAGAACTTGCAGGCCAGCAAGAAGAACAGCCTGCAGCGCTTTGGCCGCCATATGCCCACGTTACTGCGTGAAATAGATATCGCCGTGTCCAAGGGAAGGTTCAAGAAACACCCCAAGGGACCCCTCGGTACGTTTCCTGTGCAGGTTTGTTTTCGTTTGACCGGCATGGATTTTTGCTGAAGTATAAATTCTTCCGAGGTAGAGCTGTGCACAAGGTATCTGTTCTATTACTTTGCAGGTCTTTTTAGCCACATGGTTGCATTTTGTCTTTCCTGACCACTGTGCCTTTTTTTCTTTTCTTTTTTATCCCTGGTCTCACTGAAAATGTATTAACACAACAGCATTAAAGAGCTCTTTTCACATAAATTCAGGAGTTAGGGGGGTCAGTTTACAGCAAGAAATTTGTGTTTTTCAGGAACAAGAACTCTAGATAGATGCAAGTGAATAAATGAATGAATAAATAAAATCATCAGTGGGAATGGTAGTCCCACCGCGGTTGTCTATTGGCTAAGGTACTCAGCTGCTGACCCGCAGGTCGGGGGATAGAATCCCGGCTGCGGTGGCTCCATTTTCAATGGAGGCGAAAATGCTGTAGGACCGTGTGCTCAGATTTGAGTGCACAGTAAAGAACCCCAGGTGGTCAAAATTTTGTGGAGCTCTCCACTATGGCGTCTCTCATGATCATTTGGTGGTTTTGGGACATAAAACCCCACATATCAATCAATCAGTCAATCAATTCAAATGGGAAATGAACCCAGGCATTCAGCATGGCAAGCAGGTCTTATATCACAGAGCCACATCGTTGCTTGGAACTGTGTTGTAAAAAAGCCAGAACTACCGTGAAAACCGGAATACAGTGAAACCTTGTTGAACTGTACCCGGTTAAACAGTAGTTTCGTTTTAAAAGTGGCAAGTCAAATCCTCTACTCGGCAGCCATCGAACGTAATGCATTTTGTATTCGCATAGACCGTACTAGCTTATCACGTATGTATCAGTTAACAAGTTTTTTTTTTTTTCTAATTTTCGTTGCACACTCGCCGCAACATGTCGTGTCCCACTGAGCGTCCCTACAAAGCAGCAAGCCCCAGAGATAGAAACATGCCTTGCTCGATAGTGTTGATGATGATGGCGGCTGTGTTGATGAGCACCAAACTTTTAGATTTTCCCGCAACAAGAAGTATTCGGCCTCAGAAATTGGAAGTTCAGCACTTGGCTGGCACTCTGCTGGCTAGGCTTCAGGTGTTGTCCACACAATGGCACTTTGCACAAACATGCAAATACGGTGTGCGCTTGCTTTGTTGTTTTACCTATTCGTTCCTTCGGTGCCATGCATACGTGTTCTCTGGCTGTGCTGTGCCGTACGCGAGAGCTGTGGGAGCGTTGTTTTTCACATGTTGTGTATATGTGCTTGTGCTGCTTCTTACTTGTGTCATGCCGAAGCTGGGACAAAAGTATCGAGTGCTGAAAATAGGAGAATTGGACATAATTCGTGCTATTGAACGTGGCAAGAAAAAATTTGCACTGGCACGGGGAAAGGACATACCGTTAATCATAGTGTGTGGAATTCGGAATCCCAGAGAGAAGTTGCTCGGCAGTACTGCTGCAACTGCAAAAAGGTGCCGGCTGCGCGGTTCGTCGTGTTCTGATATAGAGGAGGCGCTGGTCAAATGTCTAAAAGCTGCACAGTCGAAAAATCTGTATCAGCAGACCCCTGCTCGTGGAGAAGGCCCTGGTTTTTGCCTCGCAGCTCAACCTTGACAACTTTGTGTGCAGCAATGGCTGGCTGGCCAGATTTAAGTCACGGCAGGGCATTACCACAAAGACTGTTTCGGGAGAAAGTGCCGCTGCTGACGTGAATGGCACGAAGCAGTGGCAAAATGGTCAGCTAAAGAACATCTTAGAAGGCAAGAAGCAGTGGCAAAATGGTCAGCTGAAGAATATCTTAGAAGACTACACACCTGATGACATCTCCATTACGGATGAATCGGTGATATTCTTTAAGCTGCTACCAGACGAAATGCTCGCGTTCATAGGCGAGACGTGCACCGGCGGCAAGCATGCAAAGGGCAGAATATCAGTTATGGTTTGCATGAACAAGACTGGAACCGACGAAACTCCGCTCCTTGTGATTAGAAAGTCAGCGAAGCTAAGATGCTTCAGAGGCGCCCGATTGCCATCAGGGGTCATCTATCGCAGCAATACTAAAGTATGGATGACGGAAAAACTCTGAGGAGTACGTGCGCCTCATCGATCGTTATTTTGGGGCTAAGAACAAAAGAGTTGTTATTATTTTAGACAGCCCGGCTGCGGCGGCTGCATTTCCAATGGAGGCGGAAATGTTGTAGGCCCGTGTGCTCAGATCTGGGTGCACGTTAAAGAACCCCAGGTGATCGAAATTTCCGGAGCCCTCCACTACGGCGTCTCTCATAATCATATGGTGGTTTTGGGACGTTAAACCCCACAAATCAATTATTTTAGACAGCGTTTCAGCGCACGTCGCCCTGGACAACCTGACGGCTGCGAAGTTGGCGTTTCTTCTACAAAACACAACAGCGATTGCCCAGCCCTTGGACCAAGTCGTCAATCGAGCTATAAAACAGCTCTACAGGAAAGATCTGCTGTGCAGATTTCCCTTCGCCATTGATTATGGCAAATTATTCTTCATTGACCTGATTGGTGCGTTTCACCTGCTCGAATACTTGTCATGGCAGGTTGAAGCAACGACAATTCAAAATTGCTTCAAGCAAGCTGGCTTCAGTGTGTGTGCAGGCGACGCAGTTGACGCTAGTGACAGCATCGACCAGACTTCAGACATCGTAGGCCAAGCTTGCGAAACTCTGCTAGCTGAAGGGCTGGAGCAGCAGGGCGTTAAGGAAGCCATGTTCTTCCCCGACTTCAGAGATAAGACAGCGATGTGCAGACATCTCCGGACATGTCCGACGAAGCCATTGTTGCCTCGGTTGTCAAAGTGTCCCCAATCCATAGTGGTGAGGATGACATGGAAAGCGACAACACTGGTGATCCAGGCCCGACAGTAGCCGAAGCTGCACATTGCGTCAGCGTCGTGGGGGTGTTTTCCGAGAAGAGAGGGCCGGTGGAAAAGCTGGCTTGCAGCATAAGTGAGTTTGAGGCTGCTGTCGTTGCTGCTAGGCCGCGGCGGCGTCAAATGAAGATAAGACTTTGTCACGCGAAGTTATTACTGCACGTTTGTTTTTTCTTTCATCGCACTTCCTGAAGGCTTCTTCTTTTGACTGGTAAGTGGGCGACCTGACGCTGTTTTGGTTAAGCAGTACTACCGTTTAGTACATACTTTTCCAGAGCTCTGGCAAACTACGGTTTAACGAGGTTTCGCTGTATAGGACGGACCGGAATATAAGTCGCCGACCTCCCCAACTTCGAATCTCTGAAAAAGAAATGTTAAAAAATCTCAAAGTATGGCTGCGCGCCCTTACCTTGATAAATACGCGACACAACCAGCTGCACTGTGGTGATGTTTCTTTTTATTTCAAACACCAAAAGGCCACAAAGTGCTGTCACTCAGACTTGTCCTAACTTGAGTCCGACGACCTCTGTTTCTCACAAGTACCTTCCCAGAGTGCATTGTCCGCCATTCCATTCAATGCGTTGCTTATGCAGGATCGCATAAGCCCAGAGTCGCACGCTATAGCTTTCACGCGGATGCACACCGCTGCCACGCGTAGCGAACTTGCATGCAGCTCGCAGACGAATTCGGCGGGTAGTTTTTCTAGTTTAGGGTGCACTGTAGTCCGTCCATGAACACAGTTTCTTTTTTTGCTGGTTGCTGCAGGATGTGATGCGCTGCTTTTTGGCTCCTCCAGTATCGGACGCTTTTCTCCTATGAACCAAATGCTCGTACCGCGTGCCGCGAGGTTGCCGTGCACCTCGGCATACTCGATAACTTTTTTTTTAAAGCTTATCGTAAACTGCCGTCGACTGCCACTCATTTCTGAAGGGAACAGAAAAAGGAAACAGCAGACTGACAAAGATAACCGAAGCAAAATGGCGCTGCTAGCACACTGTAGGCCTTCCTATGATAGCCTTGCCTAGCCTTGCCCAACAGTGCCGCTGCTGATGCTCATGATGGCAATGGAGGCTTTTGACTTCAGCTGCCCTTTGTTACTAGACTTCTTTTTTTTCTGCCAATGACCGGCATAAAACACGAGGGTCGACTTTTCATCGCTATTTTTTTTTTTTTTCGGAAAAAGTTTCGACCTCTGTTTCTGTTCTTACGCTATGTACAAAAGTCATCTAGCATGCTGAGTCTCCCTAACGCACATAATATTGCCTGGCAGAAGCGCAGAATCACGCCAGGATGTCCGTCGCATAACGAGTAGGTGGTTTGAAGGGCTACCCTTTTTAAAGTGCTCAGACCTACCGTATTTACTCGCGTAATGAACGCACTTTTTTTCTCGAAAAATTGGAGCAAGGTTGGGGGGTGCGTTAATTACGCGAGGTAAATTTTATGCAAACTTTTTGGGAGGAGCGAAAAATGCAGTAAGGCATAAAAAAAGTTAGGTCGCTTAGCCTTTCGCAATTGACATACTCGTACACTGCTTGGAAACGGCTCCTTTGTTGCACTTTACTCATCTTCAGTGGTTGATGGCGCTATCTTCTGCAAGCTGTCCCCGGGCCACCCGCGCAGGCCATAAAGCGTTTTGCGGCAATCTTTTCTCGCAATCGTTCAAGCGCAAAAGTGGTATCTGCTATGATCTTGAGGGGCTCCCAAAAGCGTGCGCTACAACGCACTTTGCCAACTTTGCGGCAACCTCGTTTGTCGACAGTGGCGCCGCCATTAATATTGTAGCAAGTAACCAACATTGTAGTAAGCTACCCCCGAAGCATCAAAGTAAGCCGTCGGTAACAAGATTAACTACAACATACGGCCGCTGTGACACTTCTGCATGAGAAATTTCTCTACGCGCAGATAACAGGCGAAGCGAGAATCCGGGGTACTACCATGTTGCGGAAATCGTCACGATCTTGTCTGGACTACAAGTAATTTTGTTCTGGTTTTCCAGAAAGCTGCAATGCGGTAGCGAGGAATGACCCTTCGCGTCAGTAAATCCTGTCGTCGTCGCTCGAAGATCGCGTACACAGGGTTGGGCTTTTTCGTATTCACAGGAAGCGATCGTCTGTTGGCGCGGGCAGTTCTCTGACCTTCACTCGCTGTGTCCTTATCAGCTGCGATGTCTCTACACTCGCACCGTTCGTGAACCCTGCTTTGGTGCACAGATATAAAGAAAAACAATACAATACATGGCAACAGGCGAAGGGTCCCGGGAAGAAGCTAGCCGAGAAGGCCGAGGGGAGTTGGCAAAATACAAAAAAAAAAAAAACAAAAACTGAAGAGATCTAACGGGTGAGGAGGCACTAGGGGTCGGTTAGTGGGGCTCCAGCATATGAATGTAGGGGGTGCGTTTATTATGCGGGGAAATAAAACCCAAATTTCGATGACTGAAGTTGGGGGGTGCGTTTATTATGCGTGTGCATTCATTACCCGAGTAAATAAAGTATTTAATCATCACTATTAGGAAAACGTATTGAGAAAGTGGGCAGCAGCACGGATTATATAAAGGGTGCGTAATGGTTACATCGCTATTCTGCAAAAGGAAGAATTGCGGTGTAGTGCACACTTTGCAGGGGTAGTCGCACTGACGTACCTTTTCTTGCAACACGCTCGAGTCTTCTGCTGGGAAGCGAAGCGAGACGACTGTGAACGCAATACAATCGGTGCTCAGTTACCTTACAGTGTTCTGCGCTTGAGGCAACGCTCCGGTGTCTATGCTTTTAACCCATTGGGGTCCATCATCGGGCCACTACCAACAATGCAACACGACTGCAGCGGTCCGTGTTTGGGCTCTGCTCGACAGGTTGTTTGTTTCATGGTTGGTTCTCGTGTGCACTTTGTCATCGCATTACGTTGCATCTGTCAATAGATATGTAAACGTATTTCACTTCCGTTTAATTTTCTTTAGTTTCACACCAGACAGATAAGGTGGGTAAAGATTTCAGACCACAAAGGGTTGAAGGAGTTGTATGCTGACTCTCACGAACGAAAGTCCAGTGTACTTTGCTCTCTTCCTCCTATATTTGCAGTATTTTTATAGGTCATTGACTTCACTCTTGTGCACGTATGAACTGCTGCTTGTCTTCTCGTTGTAGGGTCACTGATAAAGCTGAAGGATCAGCGATGGGACCTGGCCACAGAGTGCTGCCTCGGAGGCGCCTTGTTCGCTTTCTTGGTGGACAACGACCACGATGCCAGGACCCTGCGGCAGATCATGGCGAAAGTCATGGGTGCCGAGCGCAAGCCGACCATCATCACTAGTTCCTTCATGGGAACCGTAAGTTCATGTCTGATTTTTTTTTTTGCGGACGTGTCAGAGAGGGCTGCAGGGATGCAGTCGATAAATTGCATTTTTTGATGCCCAAGTCTATACAGAGTAAGCTAAGAAAATCGACCGATTTGGTGACAAAGTCGTCCGCCACCATTGCTGTTGCTGCATATTCAGAAAAAAAGCAGGGTTCTAGGCCGAGTCAAGCCCAGGTTTTCTGTGTGGCAAGTGAATGTTCATCACAGAGCTATGCCAGCGCACTAAACTTTTATGGAAAAAGACCCAGTACAAGTGTGTGATGAGGCGACGTGTTAAAGGGACTTATAAAGGCAAATATTCTCTTAAATGTTTATTGTTGAAATAGTGGTCCAGAAACCTCCTAGTTCTGGTTTTATGCCAAGTAAGTGTTTATTTTGAAAGAAAATTAAGTTTTAATGGTCCGCATTGCATTAGTGCACTTCAAATCGCCCATGCCTGAAAGTGGTCTTTCATACCCCACTGTTGTCGTGCCAAACGTTGCCCGCCTTTACTACACGGCCGCCAACACCAGTAGCAGCAGAGCGAAAGTAGTGGTAGCAACAATAGCAACGATGGCCATTGTGGGAATCGAGGCTAGCCCGCCGTCTTTGCTCAGGCTTTGCCGCCTATTTCTGCGTTCTCATGTCCTGACATGACTCTCCTCTGCGGTCTTCCGGGCTGGGGGAGCTGAGAGTGACGTATTAACCCCTCGCACCTGGTAGCGGATGTCGACTGTGGCGCCGTGTGCAGAGTCTCCCGGGCGGTATCGCGGGCGCGCGTCGGGAGTGAAAGAGATATTTCCGGGGACGACATGGGGGTAAGCACGCTTTTCTTTTCCGTCCGTCAACTCCCTTTGTTTGGGGCTCGTTCGGACTTTGCCAACAGTGCCTTGCGCCCGCGGCGAACGCTTACCTTATGTCGCCTTTCTTCCGAACGTTAGGCCGAAAAGCGGTACGGTGTCCTAGTGCGTGGTCAAACTGCCCCGACCCGTATCTCTCCGAAGCTAATGCGAGCGCCTTTGCCCTCGCTCGAGCAACTGGGCCTTTGTCCCGGTGTCACCGTGAATCACTTTTACCACAGCGACGTGCTCGCGGCACCGCTGTGTAGTACTTCTTGCTCAAGGGGTGGATAAACCCATTTGCTTTCCTGCCGCCCCTTTGCAACTAGCTGTACTGCGTTTTGGTGTTGCCACGGACAATAAAGTGTTGCGACCTTGAGCAGTACAGTCAACTGCCGATTTTTCAGACCCTCTAGGGAGTGAAAAACCGTCCGAAAATTCGGGAAGTCCAAAAAAAAAAAAATGAATGCGAAGCAAAAAAAGAAGTGCATTATTTTACTGATACTTTTCAATGCTAGCGAAAAAAAACGCACCATTTTGCTAATATTTCTCAATGCAAAGAAAAAAACACACCATTTCATTGATATTTCTCGGATCGAGAAGGTCAAGGTCGAAGTACCAGACGTCCGGAACTCTGCCAAAGCATCACTGGGGTGGCTCTGATAAGAGCCGTTAAAAAAAATGCATGCAGCCGACAGCGGGAGCCGTCAGGGTAGCCGGTGTTAGAGCTGCAGTGGCTTGAAAAACTTGTTGATCCTTGTTTGAACTGGCGTTCCGCTTGCGTGTGATCACATTCGCCTCGATCTGAGCAAGGGTCATGCCATCACTGTACACTGATGACAGCGTCATCAACGCTCGCAATAATTCGGCGGTCGCAGATGGCGCAGGCGTTGGTTCCTCTTTTTCGACATCAGAGTTGTCTGAATCCGCCATTACCTGACTGACTATTTCGTCGTCGGTTAGCTCTGCGCAGACGTCGAGTTCGTTGTCAGCGTCGACGAACCGCTCAAAAGTTATTTCCGTGGGCATGGAAGCACCAGCAGAGCGGAGGTTGTTGATAATATCGTCCATGAGAGGGCAGAAGTCAGTCATGCTGTCGCTTTCTCCAAGCAAGTCTGCTGCCTCTGTGTCGAGTACGAAGCCCGCGCGGCGAAAGCAGTTGCGAAGCATGTCTTGCGTTACTACCTTCCATGCGTCCGCAAGCATTCCGACAGCAGACCGAAGGTCAACGCTGTAGCCTTTCCTGTTTTCTGAGCACAGCACCATGTGGTTGAGTACACGTGAACTGTACAAAAGTTTCAGATTACGGATAACACCTTGGTCCATCGGTTGGAGGATTGCAGTCGTGTTAGGCGGCATGAATTCCAGCTGGATAGCCTTCAAGTTATTGATGTGACCATGAGCAGCGCAGTTGTCAACGAAGAGCAGAACACGTCTCTTCTGTTGTTCAAACTTCCTGTCCAACCTGCCGATGTAACTCTCGAGCAACTACTGCGTTACCCATGCCTTTTTGTTGGCTTCCTACAACACTGGAAGCATTGCCCCTTTAAAACGCCTCGGGCTCTTGGACTTCTTGATTACTAACAAAGGAAGTTTCTTGCTGCCAGACATGTTGCTGCCAACAAGAACGGTCAGCCGTTCTTTGCTATGCTTGCTACCATGGTATGCGTCACCAGCAAAAGCGAGTGTTCTTTCCGGCAGCAGCTTGTAAAACAAGCCAGTTTCGTCGCAGTTGAAAGTGTTGTCAGCAGAGAACTGCTGCAACAAAGAATGTAGTTTTCCACTGCGGTACTGCGCAATAACTGCACTGTCGACGGCGCCGCTTGATGTCATTCCGATGCTTAAAGTTTCTCAGCCATTTATCACTGAACTTAAAATCCGTGATGTCCATGCAAAGAGCGAGAGTTTCCGCTTTTTGTTTCAAGATGCAGCCCGAGACTGGCAACCGCTTGGCAATCATTGAATTAAGCCACACGACGAGAGCGTCCTCAAGCTTTGGATGAACACCTTGGTTTGCATTCATCTTTTGGGCACCAGACGGTTTTCCGGCCGCTTCCAAGATGTTGTCTTTGTTCCTCAGGAAATGGGAAACTGTTTGCTTGGAAATACCGAACTCCTTGCTCACGTCAGCCTGCGATCGGCCACTCTTCACTAACTTAATAATGGCAATGGCGGCTTTCTTCTCCATCATTAACTGACGGTACTGTTTTCCGCGCTTCGATGCCATCGGCGAGGACGACGAAGGCGGAGTGGGGGCCATCGCAGGGAAGCGAAATCCTCACGATGTGAAAAAAGAAGTTGACTGATGAGCCTCGAAGCACCTAGGCTCAGCGTGGCAGAGCACACTTCACACGATCGCACAACCACGCACTAGGCTAGCCAAACACCATGTGGGCCGCGTAAACAAAACGGCGCGACGGCAGGCGACAGGTGCCTCGGGTACTCCAAAGGTGGCGCTGGTAAACATTCGATAGCCAGCGTGGCCAGACCAAATCGGTGTGTGACGGTTCTAGTTCGAAGTGGTGAAATGCTTCACAAAAGCGCTGCGCGGGAAGCCAGAGTGGCCCGCACGAGCACAAGCACTAAAGCGAAAGGAACTTTATTGGCGCCAAAATTTTTCGGGTGGATAGTTTCGATTGTCAGCGAACCACCCTTTCACGATAAGCACGGCCAGTGTTAGGAATCTCGGAGGCCGTGTGTGTTTCTCCACTAACGTTAGAGTCCAAGCAACAGATGCCGCCACAGTAGACCGGCGCGCTCATTTATGCGATCGTAATCGCGTGTAACACAGTTGTGGTGGTTTCCGACCTTCCGTCACGTCAAAAAGTCTGGAAAATTGGACTCTGGGGGGTTCGAGCGTCCGAAATGTCAGACTTCCCTATACATTGATTCCATGGGGCTCGTGGCGGTGCCGCGAAAATGTCCGAATTATTGGACATGTCCAAAAATTCGGGTGTCCGAAAAATCGGCAGTTGACTGTATCGTGTTCTCGCCACGGCGATGGTTAACGTGTGCCCTGCGGCTCGCTAAGACCAGACCCACATTAGTGGCAGTACTCCTATGGGACACGTATACACTACACCATTCAGTTTTCTGCGTTTGCAGAGGCTGGGATTCTCCTTGCTTGGTTTAACTGGGTCCTGCTAGATGGCACCACCTAACCAGCCAAGAACTGAACTTTTGAACCACTTGTGCTATTTCTAAAGCATTGCTAGGTGGTTCTTTTTTTATAAATCAAACAGCAATAAACAAGCACCGTCTTATTTATGTTTCTCGATGTACAGAAAGTTTTTTTTTTATTGCAGCTAGTTTAGTGACTGTAGATGGGACACTTTCACATCATTGGGATCATTTCGGAAATGTCCCACTTGTGGCGCACATCGTGTGATACATTTAGCTTAACTTCTTGGTTAGTAAATCACTACATTTAGTAATATTGCCATTTTAAATGCTGTGATGCATTGAGCTTTTACTCTGACATTGTCATTTGCCTTTAGTGTCCCTTTAAAGAAACACTAAAGGCAAATATTTAGCCGATGTTGATTGCTGAAATAGCGGTCCAGAAACCTTGTAGTGCTACTTCTGTGTCAAAGTGCTTATTTTTAAATAATGTCATGTTTTATTGGTCTGCATCGCGTTAGCACAAATCACTCGCCGCAAAGTGGAAACACTTGCGTCCCTGTTGCCGTGCACAACATTGCCCGGCTTTACTACGCGGCTGCCGACTCTAGTAGCAGGAGAGCGAAAGTATCAGGAGCCACAGCAGCAACTACAGCCACTGAACAATTTCCTGTAGGCTTGTGCGAATAGTGAATTTTAGGTTCAAAGCGAATAGGGATTTTGGTCGAATATTTTAAGTTGAATTCAAATAATATATATGACATATAAAGAAAAATGGCCATATTTATCATGACATAAATAACCTGTGGAATATTTTTTTTTTTATTGAAAAAGAGCACCTATGCAAATGGGGCCTTTTTTTTTTTCGTTCGAAGGCAGTGGTAACAACTTTGAGTAGTATTAGGGTTTGACTTTTGGTTGGATGCGAGTGATTACCTGTAAAATACGTAACATTTTAAATTTCATTATACTTGGAGCACATAAGCCATCATAGCAAGCTTTTAATCTTAATAGAATAATGAATTGATTTGCAGGTAATATGTTCATTTAAAAAGGCCTTGCAGCACTTTTTCAAGTAGCCATGGAATGGATTCTCTGAAAGAGCTTATTGCCTCACGAATTCGTCACCTCAAAAATTTTTATAATCCGTCGAACGAGCGGAGTTGCTAAGACTTGTCGCACGCTGCCATTGCATTCTCTTTTCTCGTCCCGACGGAAGCGCTGGAAGCTAAGAAGGGACAGATGACGCAGGGAAGGAAATCACTTCACGCGCCTTGTGACCTAGAGCACTTTTTTTTTTGGTATACATGGCTTTTCAGCACAATCGCACACGTACGTGTGGACAAATGGCAGCCTCCGGCGGCCACCCCAGTAGCGACCGAGTGTACCATGCTCGAATCAGCCAATGGCTTATACAATGGCTGTGACGAATGATTTTTGAGCTATTGGCATCATTTGTCGAGAAAAGAGAGCAATGTTTAGCTGACTTTGAGAATTGATTGTAAATGGCAGGCGGCATGCTGCGCTCTATTTGGCCCGCATCTTTTCGGTAGCCTTGCTTTCTGACAATGGTCAAGTAGTGTTGCAGCTCCCGCTGCGTCTTCTGTTTTTACACAGCTTTCGCGTGACAAAAGATGGCCAGTACGTTTTTTTTTTTTTTTTTGTCTGCTCAAGCAGCAATTGTCAGCAGCTCTCACATGCTTTCACTAGCACATAGAAGATGCATTGCGCAGGGTGCTGTGATCAATTTTGCCTTTATATGGAACATCACAGCGACGGCCAGAGCATAAATGTGTCTGTAGTGTCGATATAGTACTTGATTTTGCAGTAAGCAGGAATGCTTAAGAACATGACAGTCTTGTATTTTGTGCTGTATGTATTGTTGCTGTAACCGTGCCGTGATTTTCATTCGTTCAAGCTGCTTTTGTTGCAGTTTGTCTTTTCAGAGATTGTATATTTCACCAATCGTTCCTTTTTTTTCTGTTTTCACCAATCAGGTTTACAACTACAAGCACAAAGCAATGCGCTCGTCGAGGTATGTAAACCTCTTGGATAACCTCGAAATTGAAGATCCGGACGTGATCAACTGCCTCATCGATCAGGTCAGACTAAACCGTGGTTTTCTCTTGCATAGCTGTTTGCTGTCGTGTATGATTACAGCTAAGGCATTAATTTTGTTATTGTGAGCATGGCGCAGGATGGCATAAAGCGAAACTCGGCAATGACCGAGAAGAAACAGAACCTGAAAGTGCGAGTGTTTTTTTTTATTTGTCATTGTTCAGTAGTGTTTTACACTTCGTATCATGGATTTCTTCTAACTTGCCTGTTTTTCTGTCTTGACCTAGCATTCAGGTGCAATAAGAAAGAATGTGAAACCGGGACATTTCATTTTTAAGAAGTGGAAATTTGTTCACTTTATGGGCATTATGATGACGCTCGGACTGCAAGTACCTTATTGATATTTGGGAAGCATCACAACATGTCTGTCTGATCGATGGTATGTTTCATATTGTCGTCGTGTAGTTGCAACTGGGAAGTAAGCAAAACTCGAGTCAACAAAAGTGGCATTCTTCATGGGGTGAAACTGTGCCCAGTAAAAGAATGAACGTTTGCTTGCAATGTAATAACAGTTGTTTCAGGATTCGGAGAGACGTCATGTTCAATCGGATTCTTCTGAAGCCTGTTCGGTATGCAAGAGCGATAAAATTAGGTTTATCAACAAACGAGCAACTCGAAGGGTGTAATGCATACAGGCCACAGTCAAGCACAAAACGGACCTATGTGTTTGTCAACAAAAGAGACCCTGTAAATAACCTGTTCCGGCAATAACACATGTTGTCAGTGCCATAAACAGGAATGTGGTTTTGTATCCAGTTGCTGTGCAAAGGAAATTTTCATGCCTGTTTTATGAAAAAAAAGTGTGCATTATGTGCAAACACTGTATTTGTGGCAGTGCCAATGTCGGCAAGTAACATCGCAGTTCTGTGTGTGTGTTTGTGTGCGTGTGTTCAGGACAATTTATTGTGTTGCTGTACGAACTTGCTGTACTAACTAAAGTCAGCCTCTGATTTCCCGAACCCTCAAGGGACCGCAAAAACATCCGTACAAATGAATGCAAACGAAAACACACGTTTTTATTAGTTATTTTTTGCTTACAGTGAGGATCACGGCAAGTACAAGATCCTCATTGCAATTCAGCAAATGCAACGTTTAGGTGCGTCGTAAAAGAGCCATATATATAAAAAAAGTGAGATAACAGAAAAAAATCTAAAGTGGCCGGCACTATGGCATTTTGGGAGCAAAAAAGGTCGCTTATTTTCGTTAGCACAGCATTCCACTTGCCCGCTGTGATGTCTGCTTCAGTTTCAACGTCATGCTTTCATAAGTCAATGACAGTGTCAGTGGTGACTTCAACTCCAAGCTCGTTGGCTGTGTAGGCGCTGCCTCTTCGATCTTGGTGTGGAAGTCGTCGGAATTATTCGTAACCTGATGAATGATTTCGACATCAATCAATTTCGCACACAGCTCGTGGTTTTTGTCAGCGTTAGTGAAGTCCTCAAAGGTTATTCTGGTTGTTATCGAAACTATGTCGAAAAACCGGCAGTGTACAGATCGTCAAAGGCAACGTCTGTGGACAGAAGTTCTACACACATGCTGTCCACTCCGGGCGAAACGGCCATTTTGGTGTCCAGTATGAAGCTCGCGTGGTGAAAACAGTTCCAGAGGGTCTGTTATGTAACCGCCATTTACGAGTCTGCAAGCATGCCAAAGGCAGCATAGCTTTTCCCACAGTCGGAGGAGCACAGCACTATACAGTTGGCTTGTGCGAATAGTTAATTTTAGGTTCAAAGCGAATTCGAAGCAAATAGTGATTTCGATCGAATAATTTTGAATCGATTCGAATGGTATATATGACATATAAAAAAGGGGAATATTTATCATGACCTTACTAACCTGCACAATATTTCTTTTGAATTGAAATAGGGGCTCTATGCAAATGCCATTTTTTTTCATTCAGAGGAAGTCAAAACAACCTTGAGTACTAGTTTCGGTAGGATGCGAGTGATAAGCTGTAAGATACTTAACGTTTTAAAATTTATTATACTTGGAGCATGTAAGCTGTCATAACATGCTTAATAAAATGAAGAATTGATTTGAGGGTAATATGTTCCTTTAAAGGGGCCCTGCAACACTTCTTCAAGTAGCAATGAAGCCAGTAAATATCCTTGTGGCCTCACAAATTTGCCGCCTCAAAGTTTCTAGAATCAGTCCAGTACGAGCAAAATTCCGAAAATTTGTCGCACACTGCAATTGCATTCCCTCTTCTCGTCCCAACGAAATAGCTGGAAGCTAAGCAGGAAGAAATGGCACGGTGAAAGAAAATATGTCACACGCACCTCGTGACCATGAGCACCTTTTTTTTCCTTTCGAATGCGCGGATTTTCGGTGCGATCGCGCACGTACTCGTGGACAAGCGGCGGCTCTGGTAACGAACGACGAGAACGCCATTCCCAAATCAGTCAATGGCTGTCACCAGAACCGTATATTCTTTCTTGGCTGTGACAAGTTATTTTTGAGCTTGTAGTGTCATTGCCGAGGGAAGAAAGCAATTTTTAGCTTTGAAAATTTATTGTGAATTATAGGCTGCGTTCTACATTACAGTATTTGCCTCGCGTGTTCTCGGTAGCCTCGACTACCAATCGGCAGCTTTTTCTGACCATGTTCAGCATTGCAGGGCCCCTTTAAACTTGAAGAGGTGCTTTGCGGCACAGCTAATTTTGCCTGGGTAGGTGCTTTCACGGTTTAGCATTTCTACATTGCAGTGAAAACATCTTTACAGGCGGTGACCTGCAGACTAATATACGCCTGTTCGTTCATTGCGAACACTTCGAAAATATTCGATAATTTAAATTCGAATAGCAGTGAATTCGGATACTCAACTATTCGTTCGAATATTTGCAGAAGCCTACAGTATGCAGCTGTGTCCACAGGTTTGGCTAAGCTACAGCTGACAATGGATTGGCGTGTGCTAGATTGCAGCATTTGTGGTTTCGAGGGCGCAGCAGCTGTGGCGCGGTGGGTTTAAGGGTACGGAAACAACCAAAATGGCGGCGCCAATAGTCACTTCGCATGACTTGACTCTGCGGTAGCTGTGCTTAGCGGTAAAAAGTCTGGAAAATCGAATGGCGAAATCTACAAACGTCCGGAATTTCGGACTTTTTAATACATTGACTTTACCAGGACCTTGACAGTGCCACGGATGAGTCCGGGAGATCAGGTATGTCCGGAATTTCGGATGGGTACTGTAGATGTCTGCCACCAACCTGTCAGTCGTTGTTGTAAAGTTCTTTAAAAATGCTGGTTATCAAATATTTGATAACTCATATGGAATACATATTGTGGTGTGTAGATGGCATTGTATGCAATTCTAAATGGCGGTGATAAATGTAAAATGTGCTGGTTTAGTATTATTCTTATTGTCAGAATAGATGTATGCTACATTCTTTTTTTGACGTTAGATGCGTGTTGAATTTCTTTGTTTGTTATTGTTAGTGTAATTTTTATGCTTTGCTTTTTAACATTCCAAAAGTTGATCAGTATTCAGTGTTGGTGTCTAAATATCGCCTGAAAGCAGTAGCATATCTCAGCATTTTTTTCTTACACTCTGTCTGCTTCAAACGGCATGGTAACCTTAATTTTTCATAGCCAAACCTTGAGGTTTGTAATGGAGTTTGGTGACAATTGGGACAAAAAGTGTGAAAGGCCTTCACAACGAATTTGCTCGCAGAAAGGGCTGGAAAAGATTGCTCTCATCGACACCAACCACGAGGCCCGAAACGTGATGAGCAACACTGCCACCGTCCCTACAAACTGCTCTGAGGCCTTCACGGCACTGGGCGATCAGCTGTTCCCGTCACCCGAGTTCCGTTACTACTCATCGTCGAAGCAGCGGGCCGAACTGCTCAAGGAAAACGTGGAGGATCAGATTCGGTGGGTGCTTTTTTTGTACAATTGCACAAGTAAACTTTTGAAGGTGCATGACGCAGTGGACGTTTTTAAATGGCTCAAAACGCAGTCTGCATATTAGTGCCGGCTTTCTGAGTGGGCAGCTAGCAGTCATTGAATTTAATTCTGCTGCATTTTGCTACAGAAAATCACTTTGTTGAAGACAAGCAGGCAAAGAACTTTATTAGTATCTGGGGGCGGCGCTCAGCCCCCCCCCTTAAGGGGTGACACCAGTGGGCCACTCTTACGACGGGACGTGTAGGTTAAACTCCACGGCCATGTCGCGGGCCCGCTTGATGGCGCTAAGCTGGTCTCCTTTGTCGTGGCTTGTGCGAAGATAGTTCCAGTCCGCCTCCGTAGAGGGAGACTCGCTGCTTTCGCGCAACGCAGGGCATTGCCACAGCAGGTGTAACAGAGTACATTTAGAGTGACTACAGAGCAGGCACCCCGGATCCACGCCATCCATGTACTTGAAGTAATTTAAAGGCGATGCATACGCCTTCGTCTGTAAGAGTCGTAGAGTGATGGACTGGGGTCTTGTTAAGTGTGGGTGCAGGAGTGGGTACTTCCGCCTCTCCAACTGGTAGTGTTTGCAAATTTCATGAAAGCTTAACAACGGGTCTCTGAAATAACACATAACACCCTCAGTCTGAGTGGCTCTCCCCGGCATGAAATGTGAGACCTCTCGCCCGGGAGTGAGCCAACTCGTTGGCATTAAGGATGGTTCTGTGTACGTGTAGGCGAGCGTATGCCGGGAACCAAATTATGCTCTTCTTGTCTGACCAATTGGTAGCAGAGAGAACGTGCGTGGCTCCCCGCAGGGGCGCCTGCGCAAGTAGGCGTTTGGTGTGTAGCGACACCACGGACCCGAGCTAACGGGGGAGTTTTGACTCCCTCCCACGCCTAGCCGTGTGTGGCTTTGACGTGTCCGGGGAAAAGGGGATCCTGGGGGTTGAGCTGACGCTGGGTGATTGGACCTTTAAGGCCCCCCGGCAGAGGCAACACACAACTTTGGCCCTGGCTTCACGTAGACGGCACCCCCGGATTGACCCGCCTGGGGGGAATCGGCAGTCGCCTTTTCCTGTCTCCCCCTCACATCTTCGTCTTTTCTCTTACTTTAAATCTTTCCTGTCCTCTACTCTCTTCCGTTGACTTCTGTGTTTCCTGGCGGCAAGGGTTAACCCTGTGTGGCTATCCTACCTTGGATACACAATATTCGGTTATAGTGGCGGTGTACAGCTGGCGTCTGCAGGTTTTGTGCTTACAGACCCTGCAGCGTCCCCTTGTAGGACTCCATGGTGGGTGGCTGGCGCCGCTGCCGAAAATAAACCTTTTCTTATGGAAAGTTCCTTCTCCCCACTCCCTGATCGCCCTCAGAAAAGAGGGCGCACCGATGAAGTATTCCAGTTTTTTGGTCACCAGAGAGTATTCTTTCCCCGATTCCACGTTATCCACGCTGACACACCCGGCAAAGCTGTGAGAAGAATTTCACATTTTCTTGTTTCGAAGTCTTTGACAGAAATCTTTGGCCCAGGATATAAAGCATCGAGAATGGCAAGTGGTGACCTCCTGTTGGAGCTCCGCGACCAGAAACAGTATGAAAAATTGTCTAATCTAGTGAAATTTGGAGATACCAAACCCACTCCCTGATCGCCCTCAGAAAAGAGGGCGCACCGATGAAGTATTCCAGTTTTTTGGTCACCAGAGAGTATTCTTTCCCTGATTCCACGTTATCCACGCTGACACACCCGGCAAACCAGTGAGAACAATTTCACCTTTTCTTGTTTCGAAGTCTTTGACAGAAATCTTTGGCCCAGGATATAAAGCATCGAGAATGGAAAGTGGTGACCTCCTGTTGGAGCTCCGCGACCAGAAACAGTATGAAAAATGGTCTAATCTGGAGATACCAAATTAATAGTAACCCCACACCGAACCATGAATACCATTTGTGGCGTTGTTTCAGATGATGACTTGTTAGGGCTGATGGAGGCTGAACTTTTGGAGGGTTTTAGCGAACAGAATGTCATCAACGTGAAACGAATTAGGATGAGGCGTGATGGCAAAGAAATCCAGACTAAGCACCTGATACTTACTTTCAATTCAAGTGTACTGCCCGACTCCGTTGAGGCTGGGTACATCAAGCTTCGAGTGAGGCCATATATACCGAACACTCTCCGATGTTTCAAATGCCAGCGGTTCGGCCACAGTTCTTAGAACTGCCGAGACCGCCTAACTTGTGCGAAATGCAGTGCTGACGAACACACATATGATGCCTGTGAAAACTCTCCTCACTGTGCGAACTGTAACGGGGAGCATGCCGCATACTCACGGTCATGCCCAAGCTGGAAAAAAGAAAAGGAAATTGTCACAATTAAAGTAAAACAAAACATTTCATTTAGGGAGGCACGAAGGCAGGTGTCCTACCTGCCAGAAACCAGCTTTGCCGAGGTGGCGCGTCAGGGGGCAGCGCCACGACGGCCCCCGGCGCCTGTCTGGCACACGCGTAGTGAGCCAGCGGTGACGCCATCAGCCCCCTCGGCGGTTGCAGCCAGTGCTCCTCCGCCACCGAAGAAGGACCCACCAACCTCCGGGCTGGGGTCCGCGAAGGCCTTGTTTTTAGAGGCGAGGCCCTCAAAACAACTGCAGCGCTCGCAAGAGCGCTTGTCCAGTGCCTCGCTAGAGGCAATGGACACAACTCCGAGCTTGAGGGCGCAGCAAGCGCCTAAGGATCGGCGCGACTCCGTCGACCGATCCAAAAAAGAAAAATCTCGTGTCACGGCCCCTGGAAAGGGTCCGTGAGCTAATTTTCCATCCTTGAGCACACAGCACAAAACACATGTAAAATGGACACGCACATTTTACAGTGGAATTTGAGAGGACTTCTTCATAACCTCGATGATATTAGAGAACTCCTTTATAAACATACTCCAAAGGTGCTGTGTGTTCAGGAAACACATCTCAAGTCCACACAAATAAACTTTCTAAAGCAATATGCCATCTTCCGCAAAGACCGTGACGACGCTGCCGCCTCGTCGGGCGGTGTCGCTATAATAGTTGATAAAGGTGTTGCCTGTAAGCAAATAAACCTCCGAACTTCTCTTGAGGCAGTTGCTGTCCGAGCAGTGCTGTTCGGGAAGCTACTAACAATTACTTCTATTTACATTCCTCCGTGCTATCAACTTTCGAAGACAGAATTTCAAAGTTTCATTGATGAACTTTCTCCGCCATATATAGTCGTTGGTAATCTAAATGCACATAATCCTCTATGGGGCGACTCCCGTTTGGATGCACGAGGACGCCTAATAGAACACTTTCTGTTTTCGTCAGGTGCATGTTTACTTAACAAAAAAGAATCAACATACTATAGCACTACGCACAACACATACTCTTCTGTAGACCTGAGTATTGTCACAAGTACACTAATTCCTTATCTGGAGTGGTCTGTTCTCAAGAACCCCTTTGGGAGTGACCACTTCCCGATAATGTTGAAGCTAACTAAAGAAGATACCTGCTCGCCTGACTTTTCTCGTTGGAACACCAAGTCAGCCAACTGAGAACTGTTCCGAAAAAACACATTTTTAGATGGAGAGGACATTGCTGATTTTAATATAGACGATGCTGTGGCATACCTAACAGATTTTATTATTGACGCCGCAGTGAAATGTATTAAGCAAACTAACGGAACTGACTAATAAGCGTCGCATCCCATGGTGGAATGACGATTGTCGGAAAGCGCGAAATAGTCAAAATAAAGCTTGGAGATTACTCCGAAATTACCCAACGGATGAAAACCTTGTCAATTTCAAACAGGTGAAGTCACAAGCTAGAAGAACGCGTCGTCTTGCAAAGAAAGAAAGTTGGAATAGGTACATCTCTGGTATCAATTCTTACACCGACGAAACAAAGGTTTGGAATAGGGTAAACAAGTTAATGGGTCGGGAGTCGCACCCCCTACCCTTGATATATAGCCGAGGTGAGAGCCTAGAGGAGCAGACGGACTGCCTAGGCAAACACTTTGAATACGTCTCAAGTGCATCAAACTATACAGAAACGTTCTTAAAACTCAAAGAAGGCGAAGAGCGGCAGCCCCTTAAATGTAAACGTCCATCCAGTGAGACTTACAACTGCCCATTTACATTAGCTGAACTTAAGGCATCTCTTGCGTAATGCAACAACTCGGCGCCAGGTGTCGATCGTATAACATACGAAATGGTCAAGTACCTTCACCCGAAGCACTAAAAACACTCCTAACTCTCTTCAATATCATGTGGGCAGCTGGGTATATTTCATTGTCATGGAAAGAAGCTATAGTCATCCCAGTACTTAAACAAGGCAAAGATCCGTCCTTGGCCGCCAGCTACAGGCCAATAGCGCTAACAAGCTGTGTATGCAAACTATATGAAAATGATAAACCGGCGCTTAAGGGGGGAGGTGGCTTTGAAAAAAAACTTTTTTATTTGTTGACCTACAGCAATGAAATTTGGCATGCATACTCATAAGTGTCTAGAATAGGGAAATATGCAGTTTCATCATGATAGCTTCAGTAGTTCTCAAGTTACATAATGCTACACGATCCAATTACATGGTCTGCTCGTGGAAAGCCTAGCGCTGCAACAAAACATGCCAGGAAGCTGCGAATGATGTTGATCTTTACTCAAAAGAAAGCTACAGGGTATGACACTCTCGGAATTTTTTAATAAGTTCTCGTTTTTTTTTTTTAGAGATCATCATGGCTGCCGACACACATTGTCAGAAACAATGGCACGGACAAATCATCGTCTAGAAAAATAACAGGGCCACAAAACAGAAATTGAAGATTGCTGTACCCACAAGCAGTGTTCAGGGATTCAGGGGAAAAAAACAGAATCAAAATCGGTCCAGTCATTCTCGTGCTACTCTTTCCACGAGCAATGCACAATGTCCAAAACACACTTGTGAGAAAAAGCCTGTCGAAGTTTTTGACAGGTTTTTTTTCAATGAACTTT